AAAGCTTATGCTCTAATAAATTTGTTAGTCTCTAAGGTGCCACAAGTACTCCTGTTCTTTTTTTAGAGAATCTTAAGTGTGGCAAGAAAGAATTCCTTCAATTCATGGGAGAAAAGGTAAGTGTGTCCAAGGAAAAAACAAACATGTGATGCTCCTGAAAATACAGTATTTTTAGAAATAGAATCATTGGGAAGGGGCCTGACTGAGGAAGAAAATGGAAATTGTATCCTGTCTGAAAATTGGGTTTTAGCAATGTCACTCCAGCAATCAGGGGCGGTTCCAGGCACCAGCGCATGCCTGGGGCGGCAAGCCTGCGGGAGGTCCGCCAGTCCCGCGGCTTCAGCGGCAATTCAGCGGCGGGTACGCTGAAGGCACAGGACCGGCGGACCTCCCGCAGGCATGCCGCCGAATCCTCATTACCAGCGGACCTGCCGCAGGCATGCCGCCGAAGGCTGCCTCACTGCCGTGCTTGGGGCAGCAAAATACATAGAGCCGCCCCTGCCAGCAATGAATGAAGAGCTCTGTGTAAGCTCAAAAGCTTCTCTCTCACCAGCAGAAGTTGGTCCAATAAAACATATTACCTCACCCACTTTGTCTCTCTAATCTCCGGGGACCAACATGGCTACAACACCACTTCATTCTCCAGCAATAATTCTGTCTTACTAGGTACTGACAGATCAAAACCACCAGTCAGAATTTTTGGGATATTTCTGACTCTTAGATTCTACTCTGCATCAGGCATAAAAGCTTTCATACTTCACAAAACGTAGTTTTCCCATGGATAACGTACACCAGAGAAGAATGAAAGTTCCAGAGCTTTAGTGACTCATTTAGTTAAATAATTTGCATTAAAATTCCCTGATTAATCTTCTACCAAAAAGGCAAGTGAGGATGTCGGTCTAAGTTATGCAATTTCAGAGCGAGAGAAGGAAGAAACAAGTTTGCTTTGCTTTTCTGAATTCCTTTTACCCAAAGAGATTTCTCGTTTGGAGAATCCAGAGACAGGTATTCTTTCATTTTCTTTGCTTTTCTCCTATCAATACTGGCTGCTTGAGATGCAACAGACAAGAAACAGCTATATTATCAATTAGCTGGAGGAGGCCAGAATCTCCTCAGGGCAGAGACTGCTTGTACAGGCACTCAAATAACAGGTGATGCCAGTCACCATCTCTCTGTAGCACTTACTACTAGCCTGCCCTTTCATTCCTGGGAGATAGGATAATTTCCTTGTTTCATGCTTTAAAGCAAACTGGAGAAACAGGTCAGTTCTCCAGCAACTGCACTGGAGAAACAGTAATTGAAGGGTTCAGACATTTTGATGAGCAGAAAATACACTTTTTATGTTTCTTGTTTGGTATTTTCATTTTCACCAGTTTGTTCAATGCACTAATGTTGTCCAACATAGCACACCTGTATAGCTGCTGAGAATTCCAGCAATGTTCTCCCCATCTATTGGCCTCAGTGGAATGTCAGTAGGTTGGAGGAGTACATCAGCTGGAGCAGGCCCATTTGTAAATGTTTATGGCCTGTCGCGACCCAGTAAATAGTCTGAGGGTGAAGGCCCTGGGGTGGTTTTGGTTGGGCCCTGCCACACACCGCCCCCCCCCAAGCTGGCTGCGCTTGGCTCTCTGCTCCAGGCGTTGCAACCCGCCCCCCTGACTGGACCAAATTTGTGAGAGTGGAGTTGTGACCTGGCTCATGGGGTTGCAGGGCCACTCACTCAAATTTGGCCTACTTGGACTCCCATCATCATGCTGGCTGGGTCAAACCTGAGTGGCGCTAGGACCCCAGAGTTTGCAGTGCCTGGAGAAGGGAGGTGAGCCAAGCCAGCCCTGTGGGACAGGAGCTGCCACGCGACCCTGTGAAACATTCTGGCGACCCAATTTTGGGTCCCAACCCAGAAGTGGAGAAACCCTGATCTAACCTTTGTAACGCTCCACTGGACTTCATTGCTAGCAGGGAATTAAACAAAAGCCACGGAAATTGTTAGTTTTATGCCAAGATATAGCCAGACAATGCAATGACAACTTTTGTTTTCTCATTAGATGAAAAACTGCCTTACCTTCAATTTGTGCCCAAACTGCACAAGATTGTGTCCTCATCTGGAAAGAAAAACATAACCAATGTCACTATTTTCCCAGGATATGTATTAAATCAACAAGCCTACACCATCCGCAAAGGCATTCAGACAAGAAACATTAAAATGTATTACAGGGGGAATGGATTCCTATGTTTTTGCTAGATCACCAAGCTTTCCTGAGAAGGCTATAGGCTATAAAGACCAGTTTAAAGAGAAAACTTTGAGGAAAGTCTAGCTCTCATCTTTCGGATAGAAAAGAACAGATATCTAAAAACCCTACATGACGAGGGCTATAAAGTTGCATGGTTAAGCGTTCAAAAAGTTAGGAAATACCAAAGTTAAGGCTGCACATGCAGTCTTAACTCTGCCTCCTATTCGCATATACAGATTCCTATACAGTGATTAATTACATGGTCACTCACTGTGTTGCGAATAATATATTACACAATGTTTTCTCCACCCTTGAATACACATTTAGCACCTTATAATTTTTAAAGAAACTTTAATACAGTACTTACACTAATTTAATTTTCATAATGATCCAAAATATTGTTAGGGACAGACTTTCTATAAAATCTTGTTTAATCAGTTTTCCTCTCTCTTTTGATGTGTTCTCTTCTCTATTTTCTTTTTCTGTATCTCACACCCTCAAACATACATATGAATTTTAAGTACAGTACTACTCTATGGTGTATACTTAATATGAAGTGTGCTATGTACTTTACATATAAATGACTTACATGCACTCTGGTATTTACATATATTTTATTGAAGGTTTTAGACAAAAAAGTACACCTCTACCTCGATATAACGCGACCTGATATAACGCGATAAAGCAGTGCTCTGGGGGGGGGAGGGGGGGCTGCGCACTCCGGTGGATCAAAGCAAGTTCGATATAATACGGTTTCACCTATAACGCAGTAAGATTTTTTGGCTCACGAGGACAGCGTTATATCGAGGTAGAGGTGTATACTATGCAGTGGATAAATAGTATGTAATCATGTAATTAAAGACTAAGGCGTGGTCTATAGTGGGGGCGGGGGGAACGTGAGCTAAGTCGGTCTAAGTTACGCAACTTCAGCTATGAAAATAGTGTAGTTGACGTACTTAGAGCTACTTACCACAGTGTCTTCACTGCGGTAGGTTGACTGCTGACGCTCCCCCGTCGACTCCGCCTATGTTTCTCACTCCGGTGGAGTACCGGAGTCGACGGGAGAGTGCTCGGCGGTCAATTTATCGCTTCACTAGTCTTCACTAGACATGATAAATCGACCCCCGCTGGATCGATAGCTCCAGAGGTAAGTGTAGACATGCCCTAAGTCATGATGGATCTGCACAAAGTGACAATCTTTATTTGGGGCTTTATTTTGAGCTTCTATACAACCTCAATGATATTTAATATAGTTTTTGCTATGGGATTTTCTAGCTGTTTAAAAGGATAAAAGATAGGGTACAGAATGAACAAAAACAGACCTGCAAGCCTTCACTCTGTATGAGGCAACCTCCCCTAATACCACGCACCTAACAAGGTCCCCTGGGATTGAGCCAAGAGATCCTAATGGAGTCCTTGCTTCAGCCTACCTACTGCCATTTTGACTATGTAGACAAGTTAGTCATGCACCCATAGACAGTACAGCCTTCCACAGCAGTGCACTTCAAGTTTAGGAGAGAAAACACAAGCAATCTACTGCACATGTGTGCGCAACATGAGTTTTTCAAGACCAGTTGTCAGAACAGTTAAAGGCATTTTCCCCTCAATTAGGGTTCCTTATATTCCAAATTTCAACTTTCTACCCCTAGACTTTTCAATGCCTGTACTAAATACTACAAAATTCTCTAACTGGAATACCAAATTTACCTCCATCCCTCACAGACTTACTGTTGCTTTTATTACATATTCACTCCACAAATGCTGAATGATGAAATGGGGGTTGTAGAAGGTTTTATTTATGCTAAAGAAATTAATCCCATATCATTTTAAGCTCCAAGCACTATTATTTTCTCAGTGCCTTTCATTTTGGGCCTTGGCAGGTTGAGAGGTATGGAATCCATAAAGCAATCAGTGGAGACTGAAACAGACACCAGATGGGTTGGAGCTAATTAAATAACACCACTCTCTCACTGAGAAGGACACATCCAGAGATGGACAATTTGTTCTGCTTAATGGAGGTTTTCATGATAATGTCAGGCAATCTGTAGCTATCTCCCAAGCCCCATCTCTCTCCAGAATTCCCCCTTCTCACCTGCCAAATTTATCATTAGGAAAAATGGTACTCTTCCATTATCTCAGCTTTCCTAGCTTCTTCCCTGATGCTCTCCAAGCATTCCCTGTTGGAGAGGATCAGGCGGCATGACATTTGGCTAGCGTAAGTGGATGTCCCTCACATTTCCCTCAGTCTTTCACATTTCACTCAGCTTGGACTGGTGCATAGGTTGCAATTTTATTAAAAGCCCTTTTCATTTTCTGGTTCTCATGTACAATGCTATGGGGCGTGGGTTTCCAAAACTGTAGGAGAATATTTAAAGGTGATCTGCAAAAGGAAGAGAATGGGATTGTGCCCTTTTTGGTTACTTTATGATGTATAAAGAAGATATGAAAGTTCTGTTATTTTGAAAGTTCAGGTCCTGTATTACCCGGAATACTCTATGGCCTGGTCTACACTAGAAAAATTAACCATTGCGGACATCTGTTGTCAGGAATGAGTAATTTGTCTAGTGTAGACCAGGTGATGACTTCACAAGAACAATAATGTGAAAGTTGAGCAATTTAGGAATTTAGTCACATTATTTAAAATTCTTTGGTCTGGTGTTTCCTAATAACTATTTAATATAAAGTGAGCGCTGTACTCTTTGTATTCTGTGTTGTAATTGAAATAAATATATTTGAAAATGTAGAAAAAACATCCAAAATATTTATAACAAATGTCAATTGGTATTTTATTATTGTTTAACACTGCGATTAAAACTGCAATTAATTGCAATTAATTTTTTAAATCTCGTGATTAATTTTTTTAAATCACTTAGCCTGTAGCGGGGTGGTTACCCGCTCCAGCCCTGACAGGGTTAAGGCCAGCCCTGGGAGAGGGCTGGGGCTGTAAGGAAAAGCCCAGGCTGCTTAGGAAAGCAGGCACTGCTGGGGCCATGCCCCAAACAGCGCACAGCAGGTCCTTATAAAAGGGCTGCTAGCTTGGAGCTAGAGTCTCTCTCTCTCCAGTCTTGGAGGGAGCAGGGTCTGGCTGTCGGTAGTAAAGATACGGGGAGTGAAGCAGGGCTGGGGAAAGGCCAGAGGAGCAGGAGAGCTCCAGGCTGGTGACTCCCCAGGCTGCAAGGCCTGGTCCTAGGCCCCCACCCCTGAGGTACTGGTAGAGGAAGACAGCAGGTCCTACCCCCTTGCCTGTGATGACTGGCTCTTATACTGCAGTCTGCCCCAGGGAGCAGGGGCTCATCGCTGACTGGCAGTAGCCACTGGCTGAGGCAAGGTGGGATTAGGGGGTTGGGGTCCCTGGGGAGGGGAGACCCTGAGAGTGAGGGGTTACTGCCAGGGGGCAGCACCCCAGATAACGGGGCACCGAGGTCCAGGAGGGACACGGGGGCCCAGCGGCAGCGAGACGTCGGCCTGCAGAGAGCGCTCCAAGGCTGGAAAAAGAGCTAATTCCCAGGACACCAGCAGGAAGTGCCGCAGGGGTAAGTCTCACGCCGTTACACAGCCCTATTTAACGTCAATGACTAAAAAGGCTTCCTTCTCCTCAAATGTTGAAAATTCAACAACCCTGCCTCTTCAATAAAGGTATGAGTGTCAATATACGCTCTCCCAATAAGTCTTCCCGCAAAACCAGGGGTGCCCAGAGTTGACATTCCCTGTTATTTATAAGGCTACAATGCAAGAAAAACAAAAAACTCCATTAAAGAAAGTCTGGTCATCTTGTAGCGTCACTTGGAAGAACAGAATACCTTAGAGTAAAAGCACTTGACTCAAAAGAAAGAATCATATGTTACTGTTGAGTGACTTTTAGATACTAACACTCCCTAAGGCTAAATTATGGCCTCTGTAAATTATAGGCACCTGTAATTACCTATGAATCAGTGGGATTTGTGCACCCATCCCTGAAGGCAGAAGTTGGCACTAAATCCCTAATCCTTTCCTTTGTTTATATTTCAGCATCCAGAATCACTTCTGCATTACAATGGTGAAGAGATCTGCAAGCAATTAAAATGGCTACTTCAGGGTTTTATATCATCAACTTCTTGTCCCTGACAATATCATCAAAACAGAACAAAAAGCTAAAAATTTTCCCTGGTTTTCCAATTAAAACTTCTTTCATTCAACAAAGACTCAGAGAAAAGTTGATTTAAAATACCCATTACCTTATTCCATTGGCTTATAATTCTCAGTACCACACAGTAATCTTTCCCCTGCTTTAAGGGAGCATTATAGAATGCCCCATAGTAATGTCTGTCTCCAAGAGAGATCAGCATGTTGTCAGCAACATCCTCGGCGAGGAATTCAGCTGCCACATACCCCTCAGCATCAGTGGCATTGCTAAAGAAAGTCACAGCAGCCAGGGAATCACAAGTAAATGTGCTTTGCAAGGCCAAGGGAAGCACAATCACTTGATAAAAACTAGAATGAAACAGAAAAGCAGCCATCAGCATTCATTTCCATGCACTAAATACCAGAGAGAAATCATATTTGCATTTAGACTTTCAAATATTTTGGCCCTTTGTTTAATAGTTTTCAAATCACTAACATCCCGGGTGAACTCTTTCCATGTGTGGGTGAAATATTTCCCTTTATATACGTGCTATTTATTGCCCTCTGTATAAAACAGACTATATATGCCTATCGTAAGGCTAATTTTGCAAATTGCACACACAGATTTAACATGATTGGGCATGCTTATTTAGTATTTTCGTATGAGAATTGCCAACTATGAATCACTACAAACTGCCTGTTTGCTCAATTCATCCGACACACAACTTTCTCCTTGTAGCCAAAGCGGAGCTGAAAGACATTATCAACCTATTAAAACCTATTTGTTCCTGATTTCCCAGAAAGATGCTCTTTCCAGTATCAAGAAGGTGACGAGAGCTCCCATCTATTAGACTTTAATTAGAAACTTGTCCCTCGAGTTCACTAAAAGTTCAGAGTGTGATGTCCTCCCACAAAAAAGAGCAACTCACAGAGTACATGCACTGTACTGTTGTTATACTGTCCTTTGGCTCCTGCATTCACTTCCAAATATTTCCTGCCTTACTATAACGTGAGTTACAGTAACTCGTTTCTCTCATTTCCCAGGCACTTACCAACATACGTCAGCAGAGTTAAAACTCGCTACTCCAAAGAGTATTTATAATTTTGGTACCAGTAAATGAATATGGTGTTGCTGTTTATCAGGATTTGAAGAACAGATCTTCTTTCTTAATTTCCTATTGGCTACTAGAGAATTTCCTGCAAGCTGTATAATGTGGTTTACACACAACAATTATAAACTGCTCTTAGTTACACCAATGAATATCTAGTGTAGCTCCACTGAGCCAATGGAGTTACACCAGCATAAATTCAGAGTAATTGAGGACAGAATTGTGGTCCAAAAAGGAGAGGTTAACCTGAAGCAAAACTCCAGATCTGAACAATCACAAGTTACAGTGAAGATGGGACTTGGCTTCAAACTTTCTGGTTTGGTCCCATTGCTAATAAAATTATCTAATTGAAGACAGTCTAAAATATACAAACATCTAAATGATCAGTACTTAAAAAATATATTTTGAGAGAGTCGGGAGCATGTAAAAAAAACAAAAAACCCACAGACCTGATAGGTCCATTTCTATCTTCTGCTTTTCGTAGGCTGAGTGCTGGTGCAGGACCGTGTACGGTAACAAACTCTATTTCTGGGAATGGAGGATCTAAAAAGCAAACAGAATCAGTACTTTAGAAAAGTTTGAGGAATAATCCAAGTCTGAGGGCAGTAAGCTTTTTCTCACACAGCACAGTAACTAAAATGCTAACCCTAAAAGCTAGAGCTGTGCTTTAGATTCAAATCTGAATACAAAATACTTTAAAATGTACAGACAACGTTTTTGGTTAACAAATATTGGAGATGATTTTTATTTTGATTGAACTGCAGATCAGCAGACTCAACCTGAGAACACAAGTAGATGAGAGTTGAACCTTACTTCTTGTAGACCTTGAATACCTCAGTCAAATATTTTAAGCTGTCATCGGAGACTTTCAGCAAGTACTTCCCTGAACTTTCAAGAGCCCCCTCAACTGGAGAACTCAAAGGTAGGAAAATAAATTCTGTTGCAGTAGCTTTCTTTGATTCCTATTTTATACCCTCCCTTCCTTTGACATCCAGCACAGTCACGAGAAGCTTTAATTCAATGTTCTGCCTGGAGAAAATATTAGGGATTTTTTTTTTAATCCTCGCCAAAGTGCACAAGGCCTAAAATGTCCAACCGATCTGAGCTTTGTGTTAAATTTCAGACAGGCAGTGTAAAGAGGAAAACAGCTTTAGGGCACTAACCAGTAACTACCCAGGCCTAGCAAGCAACAAGTCCCTTTAAAGTTTGGAGTCTTTGCCACATTAGGTAACTGGTCAGAAATACAAGCTGTTAAAACTGTAAGCACATCTAAGTCTCTCCAGACTGCCCTGATAAGACGTAAAGCAGCAACAATCCAACATTTTAAAATTGGTTTAATTCTCACCCCAGGAAACAGGAGGACTTTATGAGGAAGTTCTTCCATGTGCAGTATTTGACATTAAGAAAAATGCATGTTGCCAGAACGTTAATGCGTGCCAAAAATCAGTCAACTACCAGGCCTGCAGAACATCAAAATTTAACAATCCCCGTGGGAAAAATAAAGCCTTCAGACCACCTCCATGAAGTCAGAAACAATGGCAGCACCTAATGCAGGGCAGCCATTGTGTGGGAAAATTCCTGATCAAGAGTGAAAAGCTGCAGCCCCAAATTCAGTGGCTTGCCATTAACATCTACCCCTCTTGGTCTTCAGGTAAATTACTATAAAAACATTCTATCAGGATTACAGGCCACCAGCTTGAAGCAGCATCCTTCAAACTTCACAGTGACACAAACCTAAAAGTGCCAGTATTCACCCCTATCTTCAACCAAACCCCGCTCTAAATACCCCCCTCAGAATCAATGCTGGTAGGCCAGGAATTTGGCAATTCACCATGAGTTTCATTTTTATGGCAAGAATATTTGAGCTGGGTCACAGTGTTAGCTGGAAGCCAAAACACAGCAGAAAGCACATGTAACAGCATTGCAAGTGAAATAGGAAAACAGCACAGATATTGAGGCTATACCTCCTGGAAATGACAAGATGGGGCACTTGTTCACATCACGTTCAATGGTTTGGAAGACTCCGCATTCGCACTGCGGCAAATCCTTGATTCTCCATTTGTGCATCAGGTGCACACATCTTGTGTAATGTCCTAATATAGATTCATAGATTCATAGATTCTAGGACTGGAAGGGACCTCGAGAGGTCATCGAGTCCAGTCCCCTGCCCGCATGGCAGGACCAAATACTGTCTAGACCATCCCTGATAGACATTTATCTAACCTACTCTTAAATATCTCCAGAGATGGAGATTCCACAACCTCCCTAGGCAATTTATTCCAGTGTTTAACCACCCTGACAGTTAGGAACTTTTTCCTAATGTCCAACCTAGACCTCCCTTGCTGCAGTTTAAGCCCATTGCTTCTTGTTCTATCCTCAGAGGCTAAGGTGAACAAGTTTTCTCCCTCCTCCTTATGACACCCTTTTAGATACCTGAAAACTGCTATCATGTCCCCTCTCAGTCTTCTCTTTTCCAAACTAAACAAACCCAATTCTTTCAGCCTTGCTTCATAGGTCATGTTCTCAAGACCTTTAATCATTCTTGTTGCTCTTCTCTGGACCCTTTCCAATTTCTCCACATCTTTCTTGAAATGCGGTGCCCAGAACTGGACACAATACTCCAGCTGAGGCCTAACCAGAGCAGAGTAGAGCGGAAGAATGACTTCTCGTGTCTTGCTCACAACACACCTGTTAATACATCCCAGAATCACGTTTGCTTTTTTTGCAACAGCATCACACTGTTGACTCATATTTAGCTTGTGGTCCACTATAACCCCTAGATCCCTTTCTGCCGTACTCCTTCCTAGACAGTCTCTTCCCATTCTGTATGTGTGAAACTGATTTTTTCTTCCTAAGTGGAGCACTTTGCATTTGTCTTTGTTAAACTTCATCCTGTTTAACTCAGACCATTTCTCCAATTTGTCCAGATCATTTTTAATTATGACCCTGTCCTCCAAAGCAGTTGCAATCCCTCCCAGTTTGGTATCATCCGCAAACTTAATAATCGTACTTTCTATACCAATATCTAAGTCGTTAATGAAGATATTGAACAGAGCCGGTCCCAAAACAGACCCCTGCGGAACCCCACTCGTTATGCCTTTCCAGCAGGATTGGGAACCATTAATAACAACTCTCTGAGTACGGTTATCCAGCCAGTTATGCACCCACCTTATAGTAGCCCCATCTAAATTGTATTTGCCTAGTTTGTCGATAAGAATATGGTTGATGGTCATCCACTGTCTTTGGCAGAGCAAGAAACCAGGTCATTCGACAGTGCGATCATGTACAAGATGCTTGTTGTTTATGTCAGAGCCAGCCCATTGCATCTGCCAGGGGTTTTCTGAGTTGAAGCTGGATGACAGAAGAGCTTCTCCAACCACCCAGAATGGCCAGCAGGACTTAAGGCAAGCGTGAGGTGGATGAACAAAGAACTTTGGATGAGCAAGAACTTTCTTGTACTCGTGCAACATAGCCATCTCTCACCAGATGGTTGGAGAAAGGACTTTACGAGGACTGGAATCTAAGGCAGTGGCATGGTCTTCAGGGTGCCACTTACAAGTCTCAGAGCCACATTTAATTGGATGTGGATCAGGTCTGTGTGCGAGCTTCTTCCCCAAACCGGTGCGTAGAACTCGGCCATGGAAAAAACTAAAGCCAGCATTGCCGTCCATACCATTTGAGCAACACAACCCCAGCTCAAACTTGCTAGCTTTTGGATGATATTGATGCAACTCACTTGTTTGTTATCAAGCAGATGTTTCTCACGGGAATGGCCTGATTTTTTAAAAGCATTAAGATTCCTAATTTACTTGTCCCTGTTTTAAATCTCAGAGGCCTCTGACTTTTTACAGACGCAGTTTACAACGGAAGCCTTAGGACTGCACAGACTAATCACTACACATGTGATGAACAGTGTCACTTTCATTATACTATCAAATCTTGATAGTAGGAATCTTTAAGGTCTTTCTGATTAGCTGATCTTCTGCACTCCACCAATACTATATGACTATGACAGCACTGAAATTTACTTTACTATACATACTACAGTCAGAATGACTCCATTTAAAAGGATAGTATTTTCTTTGTGCCTCATTTTAAATATGTCTCTATTTAAAATGAACATATGCTTATGGCTAGTTAATCATTTGGCTTACCACCCTTTTAGAAATCCTTCATTTGCTCTAGAGCAGCCCTGTTTGGGTTTCTCTGCTTTTCTAGACGCCATTCTCTGCTGCTGATAATGCTTTAAAAATAGTGATGCAACTGAGCCACAAGGTTTGCATCCAGATGGTATCTTTCCTCAAGTTCAGGGAAGTCAAATCAAGGGTTCTCATTCAGGCCCAGCTATAACTGAAAACAATTCTCTGCTGAAATAATGCCATTTGCATAACTGACATTTCTTGCAAACACATTGTTTTAAGGATTTTATGGTTGTTTGGGGATTTTGATTCAAATAAAAATCTTTTATTACATTTTCACATTTAAAATAAAGAAATGGAATAAGTACTAATGGTATAAGTGAGGGTTATGTAGCAGTACAGATTAAATAGCACTGGTTATGAGGAGAGACTATAAGTACAACATATGTAACAACATGTATGTTATGCTGAAAGGCAAAGAATTTTTAACCTGAAGAAAACCACTATCACAGAATCTTCTGAGGAGATGACCAAAAAAGCCCACTAGAAGAGAGAAAAAATGAACTTAAAAAGGTCACTTAAGACAAATATATTGATTTTTAATAACAATATAATGGGGGAGGGCCCTTATCTGTGTTTTTAACACCACCTTATGGAATGTTAATTTTTTTGGGGGGGTGAGGGGAGTGGTGTCATTAACTATATTCTGTTTGTTTCCTTTTTGCATTTCACTCAGTTGCATCAGTGAAAATTAAACTGGCTGGTTCCACTTTATTGTTATTACTTATTTGTATTGTAGTAGAGACCAGAGGCTAGGACTCCATTGTTATGTTTGTACAATACCTATCACAGAGGCCCAAAGAACTTACAGTCTATACACGTGAGACAAGAGAGAAAAGGTAGACAGAGAGAGAGACAGGTGAGGGAGCACAGGTAACTAATGAGACATTACTGGTCAGCATGAAAAGCAGTGGTCTCAGAGCCTAGCTGCCTAACCATTTATTTGTAGGCATCATGACAGAGAAGAGTTTAAATAGGGATTTGAAGGAGAACAACAAGGTGGCTTTGCAAATGTTTATGGAGAGCTTCTCCCACGAGTGAGGGGGGAAAAACACAGTGGTTTGTTGCAAATTATTTTAAAATTGGCAATCAAGACTGGAAATCATTTGCAGAACAAATGCAGGGGTCCCATGTGTGAAATGCTCGGTAAGGCGGGGTTAGGTTGTGGAGGCCTTAAAAGTGAAGACAAGTAGTTCGTGTCTGATGCAGACAAGAAGGTGAAGCTGGTGGAGAGGTGCAAAGAGGGAAGAGATGGGATCAATGTCACAAGTCAGGAAAATGCTCCTGGCAGCAGAATTTGAAGCAAGATGGAATTTGTCAAGGCCAGAGAGGAGACCATTGGAG